GTCGTCGATGGACTCTGTATGGTATACGTCAAAGGAATCACTGGCACTATCCACAAAGTCCACCTCCTTGCTGGACTCGGCGGTGGATGAAGTCTTTCCACTTTTCCTCAATGGACACTCTCTCTTCCAGTGCCCAGTGCGTTTGCAGCGGTGACACTTCGTCTTGGCCTTCAAAGCCTCCACCCTTCCTTTCATTGTACCGGTCAACTGCCAGGCTGAAGTCGTATATAGTAGGACGATATCCCCTACTCACCTTCTTTTCCTTCATCTTTTGACGCACCATGGCATAGGTCTCAAAGGTCTCGAGGATGCCCTCTGAATCATAGTCGTCATACTCCTGGGCCTTCGAGGTAATCGTTTCCATCACCTAGGGGTTCTCGATCACTGTCAGCATCCTCTGGATTTGGGATTGCCACCTCATCTTCATCAGCAATGAAAATGTCCTTGGTCTTGGCCGTCTTGGAGGATTTGCCTGAAGGAAAAACATTCCTCACTGCCCGCACTATGTCAGAGTATTTGACAGAGCCTTGACTTGCGGTGAGCACCATGGACTCTGAAGTGTGCTCAAGGGCAAGCTTTTCAAAAGCATCCATCCTCTCACCTCTTCTGGAAGCTCTACTCCATTCCTGACCAAAGCCTTGTAGGCCGTGTCAAGCCTGGTCATGAACTTCCGATATGTTTCGCCCTCTTTGATGACGATGACATAGAAATAGTCTTTCATCACCCGTTGGAGCTCATCCTTCGAAGCTTCTTTGTATTTCTCATCCAAGGTGTCGAGGACTAGCTTCCATCCTGCTTCCTTGGTGATTTCATCTACTTCAACCGCCTCCAGCAATTCTTCAGCCTCTCCTCCCAGGTGCTCAAGCAATTTGGCACCCCATTTCTTCTCTGGGATGTTCGTTGGAAGTGCCATCAAATAAAGCTGAGCCCTGCGCCTCCATCTTCTATATTCACTGGCATCTGCACCTGTGAACGTGTCCAGACTCTTCGAGCTCTTCTCTTCCGCTGTCGAAGCCATCACGCCCCACGTTTCTCCCAAGCGTCGCTCCCTTCGCTGGTGCAATGATGTGGATTCACTGTACCAGCTCAGGGAGCTCCGCTACCACTGACGAACCCGGCACGATCGGTCCCTCGGTGGTCACACACTCATGGCTCATCATGGCTTTTCATCTGCGGCTAAAGGGGGCTTGTACCATAAGGTTCCGACGGTATTCGTTCGGTCTTCGACTGGCAACTCATGCTCTATACAAACAGGAACAGACATGCACTTTCACAATTATTGCAATTTATTGCATGTCATATCCACTCAATGCATTTCCCCTGAAGCCCAAAGATGCCCAGAAAGGTCACAAGTCTCGATCGATTAAGCCATGCTTGAAGTAGACTTATTCTCCCACCAGCTCTCAAACAAATTATCGAGGTCTCCCACATGTCCCCCAATTCAATTCTACCGTAAAGGACAACAGAACAAAGGCGTCCTTCCACTTAGCCTTGAGTGAAAGCCGGGTCTCGTTTTCGCAGCCTTGACCCTTTGGACTGATGGACTCATAAGTTGTCCTTCCTTCCGCCCGCCCTGACCGGATAGACCTGAAAATGCACCCCTGCCCGCGACATACCCATTGGTCATCATTGGTCAAGGGAAATGGTTCTTGAGCCTGCGATTTCGGGGGATTCTCCACTTCGTCGTCCAGGAAACACCCACAAAAAGCTCAGCCCTTTCTTCATGCCCGAAAGCCATCCACCGGTGGGCTCCTTGGGAAGGCCAGCAAGTTCTGGGTGTTTCTCCAGGAAGGCATACTGCTCCGAGGGCGCCAGTGCCAAGCCTGATTGGTAGTGACAGATCCGTCATGATCAATTAGAAAAAAGGAAAAACGATGTCCAGAGTCCAAAGCATGTTTGTTTTTTAAAGTTTAAAGGCGCACTTCACTGTCCTGTCTCTGTGACGGTTCTGATCATCACCATCGAATGTTGTTATTATTCTCCATTACCTTCGTCCTCCTCCTCATCCTCTTCTGCACACACCATATCTTAAAGTTGATGAATTCTGGTCACTCTCCCCTCAATCTACCACCTTCTACAGCTCCACTTCTACAGCGCATCCAAAAAAAGCGCATCCTTCCGTTAGCCTTCATCCCTCACCGCCATCAGCTTGTCATGCGCCAGCTGCAGGTGCCGCATGGCCCGGCTGCAGAGCTTCTCACGGCGGCGCAGCTCCTGGACGTCCATGTCCTCTGTCTCCACACACGGGAAGACAGTGCCACCATCCTCCTCACGGCCTGTCAGAAGGGTCTGAGGATGGATTTGTATATAAAAGACCCCGAAACCGGTTGGTGGTTGATGTTCTTTGGGAGCCCTAAAGTTTCACAAGCCAGGCTGTGTCACCTGTCACGGAAAGAAGCAAACAAGTTCCACACAATCACAAACCAATCATGTTGACCATTGATTACTAAAATGTTTTTATGATCTAGATATATATATATATATAACCACCCATTGGAACATGTCAACCACCATAGAGGACTCCAATATCCCTCGACGTCCCTCTTCACGACCCCCTTCACGGCCCTTCGCGCCTCATTCGTCCCACCGCACCCCGACCCCGTCCCACCTTTGCCCGTCAAGGGCAGCACTACACTGCGGCGCCGCTCGGGATGCAGCCGCGCGTCCAGGTGCAGCGGCCCGGAGCGGTTCAGCGCGCTGCCGGGCCGCCAAGGTGCCTGGGTGCCGGCCGTTTTCACTTCGCGGGGATGAGCGGCCTGGGCTCGTGGCGAGCCCAGGGGGATGATCGATCGATGCCACAAGGGATTCCAAGGAAGGCATGGCCTTCCTGGTACTGCTTCCCCCCCAACGAGCGGGCTTGCAACTCGCCGAATCGCCCAGGCACCCAGCGAACCACATAGGCACCGAACGAGCTGAGGGAAGCATGGGCGCCGGCGCGGCTCGCGTGGGTTCCAGCGCGAATGACCAAGTCCTGCTGTCTGTGGGCGTTTTGAGGAGGAACAAACCCCTGCCAATGGTGGGGCAATATCCATCTCAGGGTGGGTTTTCAGAGTCAGAAGGCAATGGACATGGACTACCGGAAAAAATGCATTTCTTTCGCAATCCACTAATCATTATACTCTTTTGGGGTGCCACATGTCCCAAGGGAGCTATTCACAATTGACAGCAAACTGCACTGACTTGGACCTTTAGATCTTTAGATGATGCGCAACCTCTAAGTGTTGGGCCTCTTAACCTGTCGTGGCAGGTGGGAGTTTGACTCACAGCTCCACGTTCCACCGAGCTGTCCACAGCCTCAGTCCTTCACCACATCCCACTCAGGTGCGTCTTCCGTCTCAATGTCAGGGTCGCTGATGTTCAGCACAGAGACTTCTTCGCCACCAGTGACATCCGGGGATGAGCTGCTGCCAGCTTCGGGATCGCTCAGGTCTTGGAACATCTCCTGCAAAGAGAAGGAGATGCATGACACCCCCCCGGATTTACACTCCCGGATTTAGTGGATCTCTTCGCCGTGGAGCAGGGAAAGTTGAACAGAAAATACTTGATGAGAAATGAGAAACCTCTAGCATGGGGACGTTTACCCTTCATTCAGAGGCATTGGGTTTCGGTTTGACCCACAGTCATATAGGTTCACGAAGAATTACTCCAACCTGTGCTGTGAAGTAGGATGAAGCAGGATTTCTTGTAGACTTGGTGCGATGTAAAGCTCCACCATGAATTCCGGGGTGTCCATCTATACTGCCCTCAGAAAATCCCTCAAATCCCCAAGACTAATTTTGGCCAGTCCTGCCTTTTTTTTGTATATTATAAAGCTACCACTTGGGATATGAGCCAAGAGTCCTGGGATATAACAGAGTCTTGGCTGCACCACTTGCAAGACGCGGATGGGAGTCCCTCCAGCAGTGATGTTCACTGGGGACCAACTGCCTACAGTAGCAGTGCGCCTCAGAGTCGATAGAACCCCCCCCCTCCTCAGTTTCGGCGTGGGAAGCGTGGAAGCTTGAAAAAGTGCCAAGAAAAAAAAACGAAAAGACGGAACCCAACACCAAATCAACCATCCAACTTCATCCAACATCTACCCTGCGGCGTCTCCTCTTCTGCCAGCTTTCGAATGGCTTGGATCTCCTCCTCCTTTACAAATCCTCGGTGCAGCTCGATCAGGGGCTCCTCACTCAAGATCTGCAGAGCTTTTCGAGGGCCTTTCGAGGCAGCCCTTGAAGCTGGGCAGAGCCAGTGGAGCAAAGCCAGGAAGAGCAAGGAAGTCATCCTTCGCAGCTTCAGATCGCCTGCCGCGGGCAATCCGCCAGAAACGGAGAGAATGCAACTGCAACGGAGGGAATTTGAGTTGATGTTGACCGGTGATGGCCCATTGTTGGCTGCCACACGACTAAGGTAGGGAGCCCAAGGAAAAAGGACTGTCAGTGTCAGGTTTCCAGTGACTTGAGGACCGTTTTCTCAACATCCAAGGTCTAAGCTGCCTTGGTGGATTTAACTGCAACCTCTGACCTCTGTTGAATCCAGATGCTGTTGAACTGGGCATCCAAAATCATGTCTTCACTGTGGTACCATCATGCTAATTAATTCCTGTTGCTATGGCTATGAGTCTTTCTTCAATGGGACAAAGGACGAAACATCGGAGGAGGTCTCCTCCGATGTCTGTCTGCCCACGAGACCCCCCTCCGCCCCCCCGCCGCTCTCGCCGGATCCACGGAGGCCGGTGGGATCGTGTGGAGCAAAGTTCGAGCTTTACACAGCTTCGGAAGGCTGAAAAGCCTCTCAAACTGGTCTCAGCTTGCAGCTGAAATCCTGTCATCGAAGGGCTATTGGGAGAGCTCCACGCCGATTTCTTGGGAATCGACTTTTCATATTACACATGTCCAAAAAGCTGCTCAACAGATTTGGGTGCCAACATGAAGCCACTTCACCCATGGACCGACGACCTACCATGGGGCCCACCGTCATACCGACACAGCCTCGCCCTCCTCGCTAGGTGCGCCGACACAGCCCAGGCCAACCCTTCGCATGATCGTGCAGCGTCGTCACACTGAGCCGGTCGGGGTCGGGGTCGTCACCGGGTCGTCCAACCGGGTGGGGCCTGGGGTGTAAGGCCGGCCATTGCCGTGTCTTGGAACAGGTTGCTATGACTTGTTCCAAGAAAATGGGCAAGACACGGAGTGGAGAGAGCAAAATATGGCATGTCCCGATGGTTTTTGTGCTATTCCATGCCCTGTCTACTTGAGTATGCCTAAAAAGAATCTCCAAAAGATGTATGTGGCATGCCAGAAGTCCTGATTCTTCTAAACATAGAGGGGTTGTGAAAGGTGGATGTCCAGCACTTCCAGCATGTTTTCTTCTGCCTGCGCCCCCGATTCTCTTCTGAGGTTGAACGTTGTGTTCCTGCTCCAACTGCTGCAACATGTGCTTCATCGGTTTGTGAGAAGCAGTCAAAATTCCAAACCTTGAGTCACCGCTTGGACACGCAGTCGCGTGTCCAATGTCTGCATGACAGTCCAAAAGTGGCATTGCCTCGAACCTTTTTGGACCCAAAAATGTCCTTTGGCCGCTGAGTAGGTAACGATGGGGATGAAGAAGTGGGTCCCAATGGTTTCAAGACATGACCTACGAATCGGCAACAAAAACACTCCATCGCTCCGCATTGTCCAACTTCGTCCCCTCATGCGAGACCATCTCAACAAATGTTTGGTGTGGTTTGGCAGCGATGTCCACAAGGTGTTCACTGACCGGCGAAACATGGAAACCTACCAGGCCGTTTGGAAGATGATGTTCCTTGACCAACACAGCTCCAAACTTATCAAACTGGGTATTTTCGTGGGTCAGGACACCCTTTGAGACCCAGAAAATTTATACCAAAAATGCGAGGTTACTAACCGAAGGGAAGACTGGGGGTCGACCCACCGTCTCCACGCGACTGGTCGTCTCCAAGCGCCCCTACTCCCAGCAAGAGATGGGCCTGGCAAAAGAGAACGACCCCAGTCATTGAGCCGATCGAACGCCCCTTCGACGCGTGCTGATGGCATCCAGAACTCAAAATCCAGTCTTGCAAAAGGGTCCTGAGCTATTCAGAGTCTCAGGTTCACTTTATGCCTGCATCCCAGTTCCAATGCTGGCTGCTGGCAGCGCAGCCAGTCATGATCAGTGTGAGCCACGCTCATGCGGACTTCGGAAGAAACCGGTAATTTATTCCAGACTCGTTGAGAGGCCAGCGTCCACAGCGTGGTTCGAGCCCAGAACATCGAATGCCCAGTAGCTTTGACGTGAATTGACAATCTAAAGAACTTGGACTCTTATAGGGTGATGTCTCGCAAAAAAAAAGATCCTCAAAGGGTCGAACCACAGGGTGTTCCACCAACAAAAACATGGACACCATCCACCAACATGCTAAACAGCTACGGCGTTGAAATTGTTTCGCTCGAATCAGGAGTCATTCTCAAACCTTCCAAAATGTCACGCTGACCGCCAAGCCGAAACAAAACCGGTGAACCAGCGCCGGAGAGGTGTGTGGTTGCGCGCAGCATCCGGATCCCACCGGTGTGGAAATCCCACCGGTGTCACCCCACCTGCCGTCAGGATCCATGGGCCAATCGCCCAAGCGTGGGGGCTGGAAGCCCTGGGGCCTCCGTGAGAAAGAGGCAGACGGGGTCAGGATTGGCAAATCCTCTTATAGGATAGGTAGATAGAGGAGAAAGGAATGAAAAAAAGAAAGTCGTACTTTCTGAACATGAGTCAGTGGTTTTTCTCTTACGTCTATATACTTGTACCTGTCCTAGTGATTCTTTGAATTCGGTACCTATCTCATTCAGGTGTCTGGAATCCTCTTATTTTCGTTATATGATGGTTATGCTACTTCCCTTTATGTATGAACTGTCTGTTCATTCTTGATAACCACCATAGTTCGTTTCTTTGGTCTATTTTGTGGTACTACTTTCCAAAACTTTATCAGATTCTGATCATACATTGAATTTCCATGAAAGTATTGGAGTCATCATTATCATTGTTATTGTTCTTAATGGCATTTTGTGAGAACATGTTTCAGGATGGTCAGGACGGCATCTGAGCAACTTCCTGGTCCAACCTCTTCAAGCAAACTCTCTTCCACCCAAGAAGGCTCGCGTTTCTCCGAAGCTTCTGGTTCGGAGAAGCCGATCTCAGGATCGTGTTTCGCGGATCCCCAGTGGGACCTCTGCACCTCACGACCTCCATCTCTTGCCCCCCCCCCCGGCCAGGACGTGTTGCTCTCCGCTGCGGTGGCGGTCCCCAGTGGCCATTGTGCCCTAGGCCGGCGCTCGAGCCGGACTGGTGTGGGTTCATGGGAGTGTGTTCTGTGGTGCTGGATGGAGTTGTTTTCTGACTTAAAACATTGGCTGTGAATACCCCCATTAAGGCAACTCACCATTTGCAACAGAATGGGGGTTCCATCATTCTCATGCATGAGAGGATTTCCTTGAAGGGGAGAGATGATGGGGTTTCAGCAGCCTCAAGGAGTGGATTCAGGCTGCGCAGCTATAAAGAGGTGACCTTGGGATGAGATGTTGATGTTGAGAGCAGTTGGCCCACTTCCTCTTCGCCCACTACAGTACTTGTCGGCCTCTCCGACCTTCGACCGTGCCTTTTCTCCCGGCCGTCGAGGCCCCAACGGTGCCACCCCGGTGGGCTCGCTGGCCGCCAGGCCCAGCAGAAGCGACACGGCCACACCTGGTGAGTCGGGGGGGGTCCCACTCAACGAGTCGACGAAGGGAGTGAAATGGACCACCCAGATTGGCCTGAAATTCCAGGTGACATGGATCACATCTGGGTGTGAAGACCATGTTGCGAGGTCAAGGCGTGGTTTTGGGGGTGCCATGGAGGGCACAAATCCAGGAAGATGATAGAATCGCCAATCTGTTCCGGCCTCTCGTGTCCATTTTGGCCCTCGTCTGGGGCGTTGTGTTCAAAAGTGGCCTTGAGCCCAAAAGCACCAGCACAGCACCTGGCAATGACACCAATTGAATTGCTCTTTTGAACGAGGGTATCAAAAAGATCAAAGTATACAGCGACCTGTTTTCAATGCGGTGCGGGGTTATCAAATGACTTGCCACATGTTTGGGATACTTTTGGTCAATACTTCTTTTCTTAAACGGCCTCTGTGCGGCTGTCATTCAATGATTAGTGTGAGAGAGTGTGTGCGCCCAGGAGGGCATCAATCTAGCGGCTTAAACCTCATCCTGCTTTTGAAAGGATGCCTTCCGTTGAACATCCGCAAGCTCCTCTGCCCAAAACGATGGCTGCTTTGCTGAATCCATTCATTTTTTCAAAAAACAGTACAGTCAGAAGAAAGAGGCTTCAGCACGTGGGACAACACTTTGTTTGGGCCCACACCTCTTCAGAACAAGGTACTTCACAAAGTACAGAGTCAAAAGGCTTCAGAACCTGCCAGAGATCCACATGGCCCACCCCGTTGGGGTCGTCACATGGCCCCACCGTCCCTTTTCACGCACCGTTTCACGCGCACACTCCCCCCGGTGAGAGAGGCGACGTCTCACATGGTCTCGCGGCGGCGGAACTTGCTGCAGACCTTGGGAAAGCGTTGGTGTTCTTTTCCCACGAAGTCCCAAAACATGGATCAGTTGACATCCCAGCATTCTATTCTCCACTCCACTCCTCCCTCTTTTTCTAGTTCAACCAAGGGGGCTGTTGACCCAGATCGAAAAGTGGGACAAGACAGAATGAAAGCTCCACAAGCCACAAGCCGCCTTCGCTTTGATTTGATGTCCTTGAAAATAACATGCTGGGCCCACCAGTGGAACAACTTGAACTACCCCAGGTGTCACAGTCTGGAAACACGCAGTTCAATCATGCCACCACCTCACCTCCGTGTTGTCTCAACTGTGATCTCTTCCGGTGCCCAAACGTGTGGAACCAAATGAACACTTGAACACAGGCCTCACAGATCTCGGGATTCTCGGGCGCCCCACTGGAATCAGGGCCACCAGGACGATCCAGGAGTAGGGAAGCCCGAAAATCAGGTGCATTGCCTGGCAGTGGCCGGCGGCCGGGCCAGGGCTGGGAAACCAAAAAGCTGTGAAGCTTTAAGGATTGAATGAAAGACGGCTTTTTGCATGACTTACTGTATTTCTCATTCACTTGGTTATGACTGACCACTTGTGTTATGGCAGTGTTGCTTGGGTCAGAATTACGATTCTGGAGGGCCCCAACCTTGGAAACCAGGGTTCAGCTGGTGTAGTCCAAGAAACAACTCTCAGATTTTCGGACCACGGGTGCACGGTGCAAGTGAGTGTGTGTACAAGTAAGTGTGTGTGTGTGTGTCAAAAATGAGATGTTGACAGACATGGCCATGGTTGTTCGTTGTTGGATCCGCCTTTCTCGGGATGTTCGTGAGTAGAGATTGTTGTTGAACAGCCCGAAAAAAGAGTCGAACATTCCGATGCAGAAGGGTAAGACTGGTGTTGATTTAGGATCCTACAAGTGAAACCACAAGGGAGATCGCAGGGGAGTTCGCAGCTAGCAAACTCACCCCAACAGTGCGCAGCTGCTCCGCAGATCGGGTACAGCTGCTCCACAGTTCTAAAGGCCCCTTTCCTTCCGTTTCCCAACTGAGGGAGCCCAACACACCATCGCTTTCCTCGTGAGACCTGGTTGGGTCGTCCCGTTCTCCTTGTGGATGAGGAAGACGAGCAGCGCCCAGTCGTTGAGGAAGCCTAAGCGATCCTCGGTGAAGATCTCCCGAGAAAAGAATCCTCGGATCCATCTGCGGTGTTCGGGGAATGGACCGCGCCACAGCGCGCCACGGTGTTCGTGGACCGCGCCACGTGGACCGCGGTTGGAAGAAAAAGGGGAGCATTTCGCTGTGGATCTGAAATGTCGGTGGACACAGGGGGGTTTTCTTGAAGGTCTCTGGATGGGAACAGCATGGAATATCCAGCTGCCCAAGCTCCCTGACTGAAATAGTAAGTGAAGCCTGCTTTCTGTTCTCACTGAATAATAGGGGGCAGTTTCTATGCTTGTTTATTCCAACTGCCTATCCTCATCCGAAGGAGAACTCAAAAACTGGCAGCGCACCAAGTCCGAAGCTGCTTCAGCTAATTCAGCCTTGTCTCGATCACTGGCTGAAAGCCAGGCCAACAGGCAAATAGCTTCCATGACTTCGACTTTGCTCCTGGCAGCTGGTGGGGTCGTTCCGCTGATGGACAAGAAATCAACAAAAGAACCTGGTTGACCGACAGACTTCCCCACTCTTCAAGAAAGGCGATTGCCGATCTGGTCTCATCCCTAGACAGGATTCTTCGCTGCGGTCAGACGGGTCATGGAACAAGCATGTGAGGCGCATCTGCAGAAATGCCCTGGACGATCACCAGGGCGACCAAGAAATTCTCACAATGCTGCAACAGCTATGCACCAGGTAGTTGTACAAATGAGTATATAGCGGCGTGAATCTGCGGCTGGGGTCACAATGATAGTATTTATCCACGGATTTCTCTTGAGAGAAAGTAGCAAGTCAAATGCCTCTCCCGCAGCTCTTCCGCACGCCCTCAAATCCTCCATGCGATAAATCGGTCAATCAAAAACTTCCTTTACACCTATACTAGCGATGGCCTGCAACCTCTTTGATCGGCAAGCCGTTCCCCATTGCTCGAATACCCACGAATCGCAGAAACAGGGAAGTTCCGGACAAAGGTGGTCCAAGGTTGGTCTGCTAGAGTCCACGTCGAAGAGATCCCAGAAATGGTTCTGAAACCTGTAATCCAACAGTTTCGACTTACATTACACACCGTTGATTCATGTTGGAAGAAATGGATTCATGTTCCTGCAAGTTCCTGTCTGATTCGATCTGCCACTAACCTTTGGATCCCCCTCCGGGTCGTGGGAAACCCCCGAGTCGACGCGATGCTTCGCTGGCCAACCGTCCAGCGAAGTGGTTCGGTGCTCAGGGTGCGACTCGTAGGGAATGAGGATAGGAGCCCCAATAGAGATTCCTTTTGGATCGATTCCTTCATTCCCTACGAGTCGCACAAGTCAATACATGGGTGATATGATATCCCAGACACGATCAAACTGGCATATGATGCCCGACCAGGCCAGGGGTGGTTGAAAAGGGTTCAATCTATATAGGTATGCCATACCTGGCAGTGTCTGTTTCACCTTGTTTCTGTTTCACTTGTAGGTGGTACACTTACTACACGACTGTGTCACCGGTTGAGCTCTCCCACTCCCCACAAGACTCAACTTGAGCCTTGGGAAAGGAGACTACAAGGGTAGGAAGCCACACTCTTGCGACAAAAAACAGTTGTCTTGGTAAAAAGCTTGATTTGATCTTTCATCGAGAGGTCTTCAATTCCATGTTCAGCCACAGGTTGTCACATCCGCCATACAAAGCCCATCGGAACGGGGCCACACAGAAAGCCGTTGGGGGCGGTTGAAACCGGGCGAGTTTCGTCCCGGTCACCACGAGAAACCGGGACTGATATCTTGTATTGCCATCAGCAACATGCATGATTCATGTCCCTTGGTTTCACTACACCAAATTCGGGCCGCATCATGTACCTCTAGTCAGTATGGTCGCACCTGAAACTCACCCTCGAAATCCCCATGGTCGCCTGAAACCCTCTCGTCTTCGCACCGTTTGCTTCGGAGGACAGCGACCGCCGAAACCCTCTCGTCTTCGCTACGGAGACGTCTCGCGAAGACCGTGGGTTTTCTCACCCCTCGACCTGAGGATTCGGTCGAAGGTGGGGTACATATCCAGGCGCTTGTCCAAGTATGGAGGGTAGATGATAGCAAATGCAATGAGCCTCGGATGCCGAGGCTAAGAAGTGGATGCGCCCGAGGATACACCGGAAGAAGCCCGACAGTCTGGAGCTAAGAAGAGCGTCTTCTCACCCGGTTGTATTGACTCATGTGCATTCCTTTCGCTAGAAAACGCTGTGTTGAACCATTGACCTTTCTTTGTGAGTCGCCTGGTCGTATTGACACAATTCAATTCAATGCAGTTGTGCAGATTCTCACAAAGGCAATGGCTCTTGGAATCCAAAGCTTGAGGCCTACTATATATGTTCTTAAACTTCAGCTACAGCTACACCACGGTGCCACAGTCTGCCGCTACCGAAGTGTAACTTCCTTCCGGTCAGCATCAATAGTCTCAAAAATCTGAGCTTCCACTTGGTAGAGAGGCACCCTGCGCACCGAACTTCAAATGTCGAATTGAATCGTTTGGGGTCTTACTCCTACCAATGTATAGTATTGTCCACGTCTATGTGTCTTGCAGAATACCATGCACTTGAGCGGTGTCAGAGGCGAATTGATGCGAGGTCCGGTTGTGTTTCCTGGGTAGCTTAGGGCTTCTCCACTCCGTTTGAGGCCCATGGATTCTATGGAGAATCCGAAGCTGCATACGGTGCAGACAAGACATCCAAGAAGCAGGACGAACCAATATCGGCAAACATAGTCGCCTGGGCCGGGTATGAACGTGAGTGTTTTTATCTGCTTTGTTTTTCTTTCTTCCTTATGTTCTTCCTTCCTTGCTTCCTTCCTTCCTTCCTTCCTTTCTTTCTTTCTTTCCTCCCCTTCCCCTTCCCCTTCCCCTTCCCCTTCCTCTTTCTCTTTCTCTTCCTCTTCCTCTTCCTCTTCCTCTTCCTCTTCCTCTTCCTCCTCCTCCTCTTCCTCTTCCTCTTCCTCTTCCTCTTCCTCTTCTTCATCTTCTTCTCCTGCTTCTTCTTCCGCTTCTTCTTCTTCTTCTTCTTCTTCTTCTTCTTCTTCTTCTTCTTCT